TATTCAAAAATCAATTGCATTTCGATATACCAGCAACAAACAAATATAAAAGAAACAAAAATAAGCAAAAAGAAATCATTTACATTAGCATAAAGAAACATCAAATAACTGGGAATAAATCTAACAAAAGATGTACAAGATCTCTACATGGAAAACTACAAAACATTACTGAAAAACTTTTTTTTTTTGGTGAGGAAGATTAGCACTGAGCTAACATCTGTTGCCAATCCTCCTCTTTTGCTGAGGAAGATTGGCCCTGGGCTAACATCCGTGCCCATCTTCCTCTACTTTATATGCGAGACACCTGCCACAGCGTGGCTTAATGAGAGGTGCATAGGGCTGCGCCCAGGATCTGAACCCCAGGCCACTGAAGCGGAGCATGCGAACTTAAACACTACGCCACCAGGCCAGCTCCTGAAAATTTTAAAGAAAACCCAAATAAATGGAGGGATCTATCATACTCATGGATCAGAACATTCTATCTTGTAAAGATGTCAGTTTTTACTCAATTGACCTAGAAATTTAATGCAATCCCCATCTCAAACTGACTAGGTTTTTTGTTCCCCCGGAAGTTGACAAACTGATTCTAAAATTCATATGGAAATTAAAGGGCCAAGAATAGCCTAGGCAGAAGGAAAAGGGATAGACTGGAGTCTTTCCACTATCACATATCATAGCCTTTTATAACACTTCAGTAGTTAAGATGCAGTATTGGTACAAGGATAGACAAAATGACCCACAGAACTGAATAAGGAGTTCAGAAATAGACCCACACATCTCTATGTTACGAGAGGTTCGGGGATTCGATCGGAGACGTAAAAGACACTCTGCATTCCAAACAAATGAACTGAAGGTATATTTTATTATATAGAGGATAGTAAAGGTGATAGTCTGCAAATAGATCCGAATAGGTCAAATATTAAGAGGGAAAAAACATCAGCTTGACTGGAAAGGGAAAACATCCACATCGACTGAAGGGAAATGACACAAATCAACCGGAAAGAGAAATACCAGGTTGACCGAAAAGAGAACACATCAAATCAATTACTTCACATCAGATCAATGACTCACAATATCCACACCCCACTGCTGGGAGAGTCCTGTCAATCGACGCGGCTGGGTAAGGATCACACATCTTGGGCAAGGTGTCCCTTCCATAGGTGGAACTCTCACCAGGTCTCAGTTTCCAGCAGTTTTTATACCATCAATAATTTTCAGAGTAAGCAATTACAGAGTTTGCAGAGCAAGCATTTAGTGTTTCCATGCACAAATGGTTATCAGTGGCGTACCTGCATTGAGCCCCCTGGCTAAT